GTTTTGTCACCGGTTTGGGCCTGTCCAGCCGTGTGTTTGTTTTAGGGTTTAGTATATAAGTTGCATGCACGCAATATTATCATCAACACTTTCATTATTAATTTATCAAGTGTACTGTAAACCCTAGCGCACCTCTACAGTGGAAGTTCTTAATCGATGCTAAGGTGTGACTACATTTTTAATCATTCGACATACGGATTGATTCATTGTGTGTTCTAGTATTTATTGTTCTTGCTTATTTACCTGTTAAAGATCTATCGATCTAAAGAGTTTTTAACTCATCAACCCTTAATTATTAAGAAAATCATTCAAAAATTTATAAATCTAAGTTTAATCCTCCAAAATAAGTGATTAATCAGCGATTAGCTTCAATTAGGTCTGATTAGATCCGACTTCGACCTGTAATGAACAAACTCGGTTAGGTCCGATTAAGTCCGATTATGTCTGATTAATTCCGAATTTGACCTACATTGATCAATCCCGATTATAGTGACCGATTAGTAATAAATCTCATCTGTGAAGGTCCGATTAGCGATTAATCGGGCGATTAGTAATAAATCTCATATAGTCAGCTACAAATGAAGAAACATAATCACTTTTGCTTAAAAAACATACCCTTATCATTTTTAATCTTGGACTTTTGTCACTAAAACCTTTGGATCTTCCTTTTCATAAATAGAATGATTTACTAGAAACAAAAAGAAAAATAATTAATTATTTATACATAATCAGTAATGATTATATATATATATATATATATATATATATATATATATATATATATTGTGGTTGTAAAAATCGGTCTAGGCGGTCGATTAATTGGCGCCTAGGCGCTTGGCGGCCTCCAACCGCCTACAAATAGGTGTTAGAGGGTTAAACTAGGCGGCCTTGGTCAATATCGGTCAAATCGGTCCAACTCGGACCTAATCGGTCCGGTTGACTCTGAAGGACCCACCAGCTCAAAGGAGCCAAATTGCCTAAAACATAAGTGAATTTTTTCTCTTAGGGATGATTCCCTTTTATAGAGTATTTTTCCTTGACAGAATGTTCCCAACTTCGATGTGGGATGCTCAAACTTTTACTCTTCCATATATGTTTTTTGCATCTCGTTCTTCCCCAATTTTCTTGATGATCTGACTCCTCCCCTGCTCGACTCTGACTCCTCCCCTGCTGCCTTTAGTCTTCTTCCATCATCTTCTGCCACGACATCAAAGGAACGACATTAAATTGAGCACCGTCAGACGGAAAGTACCGAACCCAATCAACAATCAATAATCGGGTAATCTGGAAAGGATTGGTGAGGATGAGATTTGTTCGAATCGAGGGTGAAGAAAGATGAGGTCGAATCGAAGAAAAATGAGGGTGAAGAACCAGAACCACAGGTTGTTTAACTCTTCTTTTCTTGTTTTCTTCTTCGCTTCTTCTTATTTCACGTAATTCAATTCAATGGTCAAAGCAGTGAAAGTCAAAATTGAATGTGATTTCAAGTCGGAGTTGGTGATCAGATACGAATGAGTGATCAAAATTGAATGCGATTGTTTCAAGATGAGGTCGATTTGAAGAAAGTGTTGCTATGCTGCTGTGCTGAAGGTGATTAGATACGAATAAATGATCAAGATGAATGCTGAAGGTGCTGTTGTGCAGGGCTCTGGATGGGTGGTATGTTATGTTTATCTATTATTTCTCTTATCAATCATCTTGGGATATTATTATTGATTTATTCTCATATCCTGCATTGATATGTTTACTTTTTAAAAATTGTGATATAATACGACTTCTACTGGCAACGGCTTGCAAATGTGATCAGACATAAATGTGATCAGATATGAAGGTGCTGATGTGCAGGGCTCAAACTTGTTTTGGAATTATGAAGTGTATGTTTTTGATTATGAAGGACCTGTCATCATCAGTGCTAATTCATGGAGCCTGGTGTACATTACCTACAATTAACCATTTATAATTGTTTATCTCTTTTGATGTGTTGAAATGTTAAATTACATGCATAAAATTCATTTTGTAGTGTTCAAGTTGTTGGTTAGTAGTCTACTTCTCTTTGGTTGGTCTCTTGACCAATTTGCCCTTGAGGGTAGTTTTGTTATAATTCTCCATTGTGTTGTAAGATTGGTAGGTTTCCAAGAATCATTACATCCATACAAATCTTTGCAATCTTTAGTGTTAACTTGTTAATTTTATATTTATTAACTTGTTAATTTGTTTATTTATATTCTTAGGATTAATGTTATGTTTATTAATTTTTTAATAATTGTTTTAAAAATTAATGCTCCCCGATTAATCCCAACCTAGTCGATTAATCTTTTGACCTCAGTCGACCGCCGAGCTACCGTCGAGCGATTTCTGCAACCTTCATATATATATATATATATATATATATATATATATATATATATATATATATATATATATATCAAATTTATTCATAGAACCATAGAACCATCTTCTTGAACATTGGATCAATTTATGACCAAAATGGTATGACAGTAAAATAACCATTTTATTTTTAAAAAGGAAATAATTGTTTATTAATGATGTTCGTAAATTATAGTATTCACAAGTGAACATTAACGATTGTTGTTGATAGATGAACATTGTAAAATATATAAACATTCATAAATGTTGAGAAATTGGTAATGTTCATAATTGGAAAAAAAAACAATTCAAAATTTCGAAAAAAAAAATATTAATGTCTAAAGGGCAAAGGCGAACATTAACAAGCATTCATAAATGATTAATGTTCATATATAAACATCGACATTCATAAACATATTAATGTTCATAGATAAATATTCAAAATATATTAATTTTCATACATGTTTAGGATTGAACATTATCAATGTAACCATGAGAGATTAATATCAAATATACATATACCATGAGAAATTAATATCAAATATACATATAATATGTATATGTTAAGAAGTGAACATTTATTCATAAATGAATATATTGAATATTTGTTTTCAAATGAACATTCGTCATTTTCAGCTAAACAACAAAATTACTACTCCATGAAATTGAAATTAAAAACAAGAAATTAAATTTAACCATCATTCTTAATTCTAATCTAATATCAAAATTAAATCAAAACTTACAAGAAAAAAAATTAAGTTACTGTAGCACAAATAAATAATACATAAAGGTAAAAAAACAAAACAAGAAAGTCAAAAGAAGTGAAGAACGTTGTGTCTTTTATTCTTAGTTAGCTATAGTCCTTTTGTATCTTCTCCAAAATTGCATTGATATTCACCCTTTCTTCTATTTCTTTTCTTCTAGTGTCAAAGATAAACCAAAATTAAAATGAAAACATCGCTTCAAAGACAGATTTAAATTCCTATGGATATAATCTAGACTATAAATACTCTGAACATAACATAGAAAATAATGCATAAATGAACTCAAATGAAATATATAAGAACCTCTTCCATTTACATGTTTTTACAATCTAAAGCCCATTTCATTGGTTGAAGAAAGAGATATTCCATAATGTTGTAAAGATAGAGTTGGGGTATATCAAGATCCAAGAAGATGCGGCCGTTGAGTCGATTAGGATCTACCGATCTAGTAGCCTTCATGAATAATATTCTTATACTTAAACACCATTGTAACTAACAAAACATGCAAATATTTTGTCATTCAAGATAATTAAATTTTTACTAGGTACTTTCAACAAATGCGTGGATTGCTAACAAGAGATTATTTCAGATTAACATTTTGGGTGCTCGGGTCTGTCAGAATCAATTTAAATGAGTAACAATAAAGAAACATGATATCTAGTAAAAAAATATCATAACATCAGTTAATGAAATCATACCACCACAAGGCCAATAAAAAGGATAACACATGGAACATTAAGCGGCATATCACATAGATTTGAAACGATAATAAAAAATTAATATAATGGGTATGATTAACTCACACCAAAACATATCCCGAGAGATGATTTTTTCAAAATTTGAAAGTCTGATCCGTCTTAACTTATAGTCTCACAATCCTTATCCTTCATCTTGCACCATAACAACATCCGAACCTAATTAGTCTCAGAATTCCTCTGTTCATTTGTGTTTATTGGCAAAAATCCGATCAGTAAAGAAAAATTCACCAATCAAGCTGTATACCATTCTCCCTTGTTCATATTTAGAAACAAAGAATCTCTTTTTGTTGTTGTGCAGTGGGAATTAAACAAGGAACAATTGACTTTTCATTATTCCTCTCTCAAAACTATATTATTCACTGCACCTTTACAAAATAAATGACATCTCAACTTCTGCTTTAAAAAGAATTTATTACCATACCAAAAATAAATTAAAACATATGAAAAACGAACTTTAACCAAATTGCTTGTTATTTATGATGTCTGCACAACAGAAAGAAAGAATTCTTATTCTATTACCTCCAACGGTCACCATTTGATGTTGCCTCAAAGCTCACCTCTCATACGTCTTTATGGAATATAACTTTTTTTTTTTTTTTTTTTTTTTCAGCTGTAAGAATTCACAATTCACAACTCACAATTGCATTGCAGATCTACTGCTGCTCTTTTTCCCTTTGTACGTTAAATATCATGCAATGAGATACCAATCTTGATGCGTTAGTAATGGCTAACTCTCAGAATCTGATTCTTTCCCCTAATTTCACAAGTACCTCCATGTTTTTATTTTTTCTGAAAGTTTATAAGTATTGTCTCTGCCTCATAGATTTCTTCATCGGCTACAATGGCTACCCAGCAAGGAGCTCCATCCCGTCCATGGTTCCGCCTAGCAACCATGGTTCGACCACCACCACCACCACCAACCCCACAACCTGATCAAGCCCCGCCACCACCACCAAGGCCAGCAGCATTCATGCGACCAGCATTTTCTCAGACATTTCGAGTACCACCAACTGTACCTCCTCCACAAACCACCGCAACCCCACCAGCTGTATCTCCGCCACGACCTGCCGCAACCTTACCAGCTGCTAATAGCGTAGCACCAACATTACCACCACAACCGCCAGCAGCCAGAGCTTCACCACCATCACCACCACCACCGTCACCTAAGGAGACTTCATCTTCAACCTCTAGCACTTCACCAATGCAACAATCTCGACCTCCCTCACCGGTGACAACTCCCCATGTACCACCTCCACCGACACCGCCTCAGCCATCATATTCACCACCACCCATCCCTCGTTCATCAACCCCAACATACTCCCCTCCAAAACCAAGCAAACAACTAGAAAAAATCTCGCCTCCTTCTCCTCCAAATCCAATCAACCCTGTTTCTCACCCTCCATCTCCTTTGGCCCTCCCTTCACCACAACTCAAGCCAGAATACGAGCAGAAGACCATGGTCGTACAAGAAACAAAAGAAATCCCTAAAAATCTGGATAAGGGTTTTAATGGCGACATTCGTAGACACTCGGTTAATTGGGGTACTCGTAACCCTAAAAAATCTGAAACTTCTAAGAAACACTCGCACTCGGATTCTGAGGATGGGGGAATGAGGATTATAATAATTGCAGGTGAAAACAAAGGAGCAATCATGGAGTTGAGCCCTTTTGGCAAAAAGACTCATAATTTTGGGGACAACCCACACAGACTCCACATGAAGAAAGACAGTCCTACTCCTACCCAACCAAGTGATGGAGAGAAGTCAGGAAGTAATTCAGATGGAAAGTCAAAAGCAATCAAGTCAAAGTCGCCACTCATGTGTGCAGTCATGAATAGTAACGTACAGGGTGTAAACAATTCCATTCTCTACAATTGCTCCACTTCTCATCATGACCCGGGTGTCCATCTCTCTCTCTCAAGAAAGCCCATGGGTTTTAACTCAAAACTCAAACATCACATCAACTAGACATGGAGAGAGAGAAAGAGTATCTACCTCTTGTGTTTCTTTATTTATCATCGTATAGGTATTTCTGCGACTGAATAATTTGACTAGTCCATGTTCGATCTAGTTATTAGATTATGAAAAGGGGCATGGATTCTGATTCTTTTTCGCTCCTGCCCCCATCAAGATGACTAATAAGTTCCATGCTCTATATATCTATATATATATATATATATTCTATGTGAGCAGATTTGCAACCTGAATAATATATTTTGAAATTTTTTGCAGTTGTAAGCTCTATAATACTATATCTTTACAAATTTAAATACTTGTTTAAATTTGCTGATATACATTGCAGTACACACTGATTGAAATACACTTAAATTTGTTGATTTTGAACCGAAATTGTCTTTACAACTTGATCTCCCAACACAAATACAATCAAACTATAACGTATTTTGTAGCTACAAGATTAAACTCACAAACAATGAAACATTACTCTTTTTATAACTCAAATTGAACAAGAATACATATGTACCTAACAAAAAGAGAGAGGAGGGGAGTGTGTGAGAGAATAAGAGAGCCAAACTTTTCTCTCTGCAGAGAAAGGTCTTATATCCCGGGTCAGCAATATGGATCGACCCAAACCCGCACAATGATGAATAGTTTACACGAGCCGATATCCCATCGGTATGCAACTATGCATCATCTACAACTTTAGTCTTCCGGCATTAAATTTAAATCCTAACGTAACAACCCAACTTTAAGCCCAAATCTCTTAGCCCAATAGACCACTTTAGGCCAATCACAGAATTTATAACACGTCTAAAGATTACCTTCACGAACTGACAAAGTCACTGTCCTTTTATTTTATATATGTATTTCAAAAATAAGATTGGATTTGACCATTACCATTTCAATATCTCCTAAATTTTACTTTTAAAAACGGGTCTAACAACTTCAAATTTTCATTTAAATACTAATGTTAAACATACTCAAGGATTTTGGCAAATAACTAAATATATATGTTCTCTGTTCTTGAGAGGATGTTTTTATAACTTTCACAATTCCCTTCATGACTTTATCTGTAACATCCCCAAAATTCAAGGCCAAAAATTTCATTTGTATATAAGTTATTACATAAACCATCAGTATAAAAACATTCATAATAATATCTCGTGTCAAGCCAAAGTGTCAGTAATCAAAACATATTATCATAAAATCATATCAGAGTGTGATCCCAAAGATCTCATGTGCGGAAAACATAGTGTGATGCGCTGCGATCGAGCCGACTCCTTTCCTTGAAAACAAAGTACCTGAAACCAAAACTGACAACCGTAAGCACGAAGCTTAGTGAGTTCCCCAGATACCACATACTATACAAACCAACTGATCCATACATGCCATACACAGCCAAGAGCCATACATAACCAACATATCCATAATCAAGTAAGGTGATATGTGCCAAACATAGTCTTGCGGTTATGCCACGGGCCGCACGTGGTCTTCCTGGTCAAGCCTGGGGCCACTCCCTGGGTCTTACAGACAAGTGCCAAGGGCCACCCCCTGGTCTTTCATGCAAGTATCACAAAGAAAACTATACAGACTACTCTACTAGGCTACTCCGCATATAGTGTGCCAGGAGC